TAATTTGCCTACAAACATCAGGTGGTCATAATAATCTGGCCACTCAGTGTATACAGTATGGCACAGTCTCTTAGTGTTGTCTCTTGGTACAGGGCAGTGTATATGGCACAGTCTCTCAGTGCTGAGTTGTCTCTTAGTTTAGGGAAGTGTATATGGCACAGTATCTCTCTGTTGAGTTGTCTCTTGGTAGAGGGCAGTGTTTATGGCACAGTATCTCTCTTTTGAGTTACCTCTAGGTAGAGAGCAGTGTATATGGCACAGTCTCTCAGTGTTGAGTTTTCTCTTGGTAGTAGGGGGAAGTGTATATGGCACAGTATTTCTCTGTTGAGTTGTCTCTTGATAGAGGGCAGTGTTTATGGCACAGTGTCTGTCTGTTGAGTTGCCTCTTGGTACAGAGCAGTGTGTATGGAGTAGTCTCTCAGTGTTGAGTTGTCTCTTAGTATAGGGCAGTGTGTATGGCAGAGTTTCTCTCTGTTGAGTTGCCTCTTAGTAGAGGGCAGTGTTTATGGCACAGTATTTATCTGTTGAGTTGCCTCTTAGCAGAGGGCAGTGTATATGGCACAGTCTCTCAGTGTTGAGTTGTCTCTTAGTAGAGGGCAGTGTATATGGCACAGTCTCTCAGTGTTGAGTTGTCTCTTAGTAGAGGGCAGTGTATATGGCACAGTCTCTCAGTGTTGAGTTGTCTCTTAGTAGAGGGCAGTGTATATGGCACAGTTTCTCTCCGTTGAGTTGTCTCTTGGTAGAGGGCAGTGTATATGGTACTGTCTACAGAAATGTTAATGGGTTATGTTACATTACCAGTTAAGATGTAAACAGCATATAGCACAGTTTTTCTTTAATAAAAGTGTGTTGAGTTTGTCACAATGTGCAAAGTCCGATCTGCTAGCTGAGTGAGGAGATAGAATAAATTCCCAGGTGGACTGACTTCCCAGAATGCCACTGCTGGGACAACACAATGAGGACAGTTATTTAAAGCCTGAACTAGTTACAGCACTGCAGAGATGTACTGTGATCTACAAACCTGCCAAGACAAATGATACAGGCTGTGACTGGCTGCTTTCCAGAATCATATACATGCAGCCCTACATAAGTGAGACACATATAGTTCATCTCTTGCAAAAGGGAAGTATATTAAAGGGCTACTATACACATACTACCAGCTGGTTTACGTAAGAGAACGGTTGAAGGTATACTTCATCAATATAGAAAATTAAGCTTTGAATTGCATACTAGGGACACAACTTGCACAAGTTTTATGGTTTTCAACTAGGCAACAGCACAGTGCACCAGTTAACTTGCTGGCATCAATGGGGCCTCAATGCAAGATCTCCCTGCCGTAGTTCCTAGCTCTGTTCTTGCCCACCCTGGAGTTTGGGTTTCTTGGTCCACCTCGGTGTGTTGCCAATCTTCCTATTCCTAATGAAAATTAAATAAAAAATTCCAGCAGGGTCTTCTCAGAATAGCCATGACAGATGTGCAGAGCTTAGAATAATCAAGTTCTGATCTTCACTACATACAGTGTAACTGGATCATGCTTGTAGTGACAGCAATGAATGGTAGCATGTAATACCATGGCAGAAGAAGAGAAGAGGAGTCACCAGCACTCACATGAAGATTAAAGATTAACTGATCTTATTTGTCTGACTCTGTCAGGAGAGCTGTATGAGGACTTCCATTCCTGGACCTCTTTTGAAAATGTCCCTCAGTCAACTTGATGAAGGAACCCTGCGGGGCTGTAAAATGTTGGCTGTTTCTGATTGATGCCTTGGAAATAGACTCTTCACTTCAGTCAACTGCTGGGGACTATTTTTCTCTTTATCTATAGGTGAACTCAACCACAGAGATCATGAAATCTCCAGGAGGTAACAAACCACTAGCCAAGTAACCTATTCACCATCTACCAAAAGCAGAAATGCCGGTTTTGAGGGATAGAAGAAGAAACAGAAAACACTACTGGTACTGTTGGGTCACGAGAAATGTATATCCTGTCCACGTGCAACTTCAGATCTTTAGGTGGACTGTGCGACATTTAGGTTGGCTGTGCCACACTCTGGTGGGCTGTGCGACACTCTGGTGGGCTGTGCGACACTCTGGTGGGCTGTGCGACACTCTGGTGGGCTGTGCGACACTCAGGTGGGCTGTGCGACTCCCAGGTGGGCTGTGCGACTCCCAGATGGGCTGTGCGACTCCCAGGTGGACTGTGCTACTCTCAGGTGGGCTGTGCGACTCCCAGGTGGACTGTGCTACTCTCAGGTGGGCTGTGCGACTCCCAGGTGGACTGTGCTACTCTCAGGTGGGCTGTGCGACTCCCAGGTGGACTGTGCTACTCTCAGGTGGGCTGTGCGACTCCCAGGTGGACTGTGCTACTCTCAGGTGGGCTGTGCGACTCCCAGGTGGACTGTGCTACTCTCAGGTGGGCAGTGCTACTTTCAGGTGGGCAGTGGCACTTTCAGGTGGGCTGTGCGACTCTCAGGTGGGCAGTGCCACTTTCAGGTGGGCTGTGCGAAACTCTGGTGGGCTGTGCTACTCTCAGATGGGCTGTACGACTCTACAGCATGCCGGCAGTGGATAGGCTTTTTACTCGAGCTGCTGCTTACTTAAAAATATTAACTGTAACACTTTGCAAGCATTTCATTTCGATGCACCTGGAATGTATTTCGCTCATTTAAACTGAGAATTGAGTCGGGCTGAACTAAGCTTCGGCCTTCTCATCCATATGGCTTTTCTACCTTTCTAAAAGCTGAGTAAACAGATCATCAACCATCCTCATAGCAAAAATGGCTGACAGGCAACGGTGATACCAGGTTCTTTTATGTGGGAAACTGGCCTCAGAAATTTTTGTTGCGTTCCCTACTGTCCATATCTGTAAACAATAAATTAAGGCAACTGGACTTGCTGTATTTTCTTCTTGAAGACGTTTCGTTCGTCATCTGACTAGCTTTCTCCATTCAGAATTCAGTGCCCCAACCCGCTGCTGATTGGCTGGGAGGTACATTTAGCTTCTGTATTCAGAGGAGTTAAGGTTTGGTCTGAACCATGACCCCAACCCTATTCAACTGCTTAAAAAAAAGACCTTCTGATGCTTCTTTTTTACTCATCCAACTCCACTGTCTGTGTCCCTCACTGATAATGGGAAGTGATGACCAGTGGATCCAGCATTGCAGTCTGTGCGACTGGTCGCCCCTTCATCAGCAGATACAGCATGAGAGGACCCCACTGCTACACAGCCAATTGGAAGTGTCCATGTCACTCAGGAAGCAACATGGCCACCTAAAGCAGGACCCTCTTTCTGTGCAGGGAAAAAGACAGAAGACTCAGAACTAGACATGTGCGATTCGTTTTGTTCCGAAATTCGGACATTGAGACACATCCGAATTTCCGAATCCCGCTGCATCCAATGTGTCCGAATCCGAATTTCCGTTTCTGAATTTTGGATCCTGTCCGAATTTCGTTCAAAAACTAAACTGAATCGGACATGTAACTTTTCTGGCCAATCAGATGTGCTTTTCAGTTTAATGCATCCGAATGGGTCTGAACACAAAATTTCATTATGACGACCACTACCTTGCTAAAGAAGCTGAGGGTAAAGGTGAGGGACTGGCCAAGCATGTCTCCAAACCTAAACCCTATTGAGCATCTGTGGGGCATCCTCAAACAGAAGTTGGAAGAGCGGAAGGTCTCTAACATTCACCAGCTCTGTGATATCGTCATGGAGGAGTGGAAGAGGACTCCAGTGGCAGCCTGTGAAGCTCTGGTGAACTCCATGCCCAAGAGCGTTAAGGCAGTGCTGCAAAATAATGGTGGCCACACAAAATATTGACAGTGTAGGCCCAATTAGGACATTTTCACTTATGGGTGGTGTACTTACTTTTGTTGCCAGCGGTTTAGACATTAATGGCTGTGTGTTGAGTTATTTTGAGGGGACAGCACTTTACATTGTAGCAAAGTGTAATTTCTTCTGTGTCATCACATGAAATTATATAATAAAATATTTACAAAAATGTGAGGGGTGTACTCACTTCTGTGAGATACTGTATGTATATGGCTCCCAGACCCGAATGGCATTCAGGATCCGAATTGAATTTCGGGAGCTCCCATTCGGATCTGGGAGCCATATACAGGTGAAACTCAAATAATTAGAATATCGTGCAAAGTTCATTTATTTCACTAATGCAACTTAAAAGGTGAAACTAATATATGAGATAGACTCATTACATGCAAAGCAAGATAATTCAAGCCGTGATTTGTCATAATTGTGATGATTATGGCTTACAGCTCATGAAAACCCCAAATCCCCCAAATCCACAACCTCAAAAAAGTAGATTATTACATGCAATCAATAAAACAAGGATTGTACATAGAACAATATCGGACCTCTGAAAAGTACAAGCATGCATATGTACTCAGTACTTGGTTTGGGACCCTTTTGCAGCACTGACTGCAATTACTTTTGCACGATATTCTAATTATTCGAGTTTCACCTTTACATATAATACTAAAGCTGAGGCTCCCAGACCCGAATGGCATTCGGGAGCTCCCCAATGCAATGTGGAAATTCTATGGTATTCGCAACAAATATTGATAAACATATCCGAAACTAACAAAAATTCAGATTTCGTCCGAAACCCAAATTGGATTGAATTTCAGATCTGAATCACAAATTCCAAAGTTTCCAGATATCCAAACCGAACTGAATTTTCCGCAGCTTACATGTCTAATCAGATCCCGGTGTGTCACATGGCCAAAGATTAAGGTAAGCGAATGGGGTAGCAATGCCGGGAGTTGAGCTTTACTGTTTCTTTACAGGAGTCCAAAGATCAAAAAGGTTGGGTGCCCTTTTTTGGGGGCCCACAGTAACATATTTACAATTACGACGATTTTCAAACAAGCAGAAAACAGCATCTTTGCAGAACATTTACAAAAGCCCATTGACCATGAACAGTATATGTTTGTTCTCTTATCTCTTATATAGCTTATAATAACAGAGAAAATGCCCTTACCCTGTCAGCACGACCACAAAATCCATCATATTCCAGCCATTGCGTAAGTAGGATCCTTTGTGAAATGCAAACCCCAAGGCAATGATTTTAATTCCAGTTTCAAAGCAGAAAATTCCGATGAAATACGGTTCAGTATCATCCTGCGGAAAGAAGGTAATTGTAAGAGTCTTATTTAGAAAAAAAAATGCTATCTGTATACATGGTTTTATTTAATAAGAATGCAAAGGGTAGAAATGTGCATTCACCCATACCAGCCAATAAGAATTCAGGACTCAGCAACACAGAGTGGTTACACTGTATAGAGGAAATTTCTGATTGGCTGCAATGGGCTGCTGCACACCTTTTTGCTTTTTTTTGCATTCAACAATAAGATAAATGTTATCTAAAGAATGAATTTGCGAAGCCCTATTTACATGATGTCAATGTAACATCAGAAAATTAGCCCATTGTTTAAATAACACAGGGCGTGTGAATCCTGGGTGAAAGCCGTGTCAATCTTATGTGAAAACATTTATAAATAGCACAACCATACACATAGAGAGGATTTTGTTTAAATTAGAACCTGTATCTGGCCGCTCCTCAGCACATCATAGCTGGTAAGGGTTGGGGTGGACAGACACAGACACTGTGGGCACAGAAAACTATTTTTGTTGGGTTTACATTGTATATCAGAATCCCTCCCATGTTCTGAAGCTAAGAAAAAAAATGTTAATAGGTTGTAATTAAGAGATCTAAACTGCTCTGCAATTATAAACAACAGAAAAGTTATTTATTGGATGGATCATGGCTTTATAAAGCAGCATAATAAGGAGCTCCCCAAATCATGAGCTACGGCCACTTAAAGGGACCCTGTCACGTGATTAAGACATGTCAAGAAAGATACACAATACTGCCCACGCCACTGAATGCTGCTCAAATCCTGAGCAATTACATAGTTACATAGTATTTGAGGTTGAATAAAGACACAGGTCCATCAAGTCCAACCTATTGCGTGTCTGTGTGTGATTGTGCATGTGTATGTGTGTACATGAGTCCCTATGTGTCCTTGTTTTTAAGTGTACCTGTACCCCTGTATGTTACTGTCTCTGAGGAAGGTATCTAAATGCTTTTTGAATGAATCGATACTCTCAGCTGATACCACTGCTTGTGGCAGCAAGTTCCAGACTTTAACCGCTCTGACTGAAAAGAATCCCCTACGCCCTTTGTGTTTAAATCTTTTCTACACCAGTTTTAGGTGGTGGCCTCTAGTCTTTGTTACGGAGTTTACTGTAAAAAGTAAAATTAGCCCTCAACACTTCCGGGAGTATCGATCCCCGTGATCCCCTGCATGTCTCCTTGGTTCTTCCTGTTGACATCCACTTTAACACTGTCTTCTGCAGATAGGTGGAGGTCAGCAGGAGGAACCAGTGAGAGCTGTGGGGAACCATGGAACCAGGAAGTATAGGGGGAATGAGTTCTCAGGATCAGGGCAGCGTTCAGCGGCGCAGGCAGCAGGAGAGATAAGTATTGTGTTTCTTCTTTGCAGGTATGTGCTTACTTATGGGTTTTTGGTCATAGCTTCACTTTACTGAAATTGGAGTGTGCAACATTCATTCCATTTGTGGTGACTGCACACGTAGTAAAGATAAACACATAATTTGCTTATGGGTTTCTGATCATGTGACAGGGTCTCTTTAAAGTGAACTTGAGTTACTTTATTCTCCCCTAAACTGTAGGCAATCAAGTAGGGGTGCCTGTCTGCAGGGGAGAACTGGCAACCATTTGGCATGGGGGGGAATGGGAAACCACAACCAAGGGATCCTTTCATGGTAGTTTTCTGTGGACTAATAGAAGATTTGGCACATGACGTGTGCCACAGTGATTGGTGGTCATGGTGAAAAGTTGATGTAATATTGCAAGGTTCCTCAAACTTTTCAAACAAAGGGCCAGTTTACTGGCCAGCGGGCTGTTTGGGGTCCAGTCTGTCCAGTAGGAGTAAGAAAAAAGAATAATAAATACCCGGGCATCAGTAAAATTTACCCCTTGTAGGCTTCATGTCCCGCACCACTCATTGTGACACCATGGGCAGGACTATACAGGCAACATAAGACAGGAAATCACAACGCCCAATAGTGACTGTAAAATTGCCAGGTGCTGGAATGTTCTGTATTCCAATGCTCGGCACCTGCTACCACTTTTAAAGCTGCCCCCATGGTGAGCTGAGCATGCGGGTCATAACATTGCAAGAGGCCAGTCCAACAGCCCAACACATGTTATTAGTATTGGCCTGAGGTGTACAGTATATGGCACACTTTACTTAACCCAGTCCTCTCCTGACTGCCTACATTACTAGAGCTCCCTAGGAGCCTCTTAAGCCAAGGTAACTCTAATATGTAAATACATCAGTAAGGCTGTCCATCTTGTGATTGGACCATGAGAGGTAGGGGGTGGAGCCAAGCACAACTTTAGGAATTTACTTTCTATTTCCATATTAAGAGCTCCCCTGGATTTAGGGCTGTAGGCTCTTGTTCCGAATGGCTACTTACAGGGCAGAAGGTTCAATATGAATTGAGGTTTATTATGTACGCTACCACTGCTAACTTCCTTTGAAAAGTTAGTTGCCTCTCATGTCATGATGATGGTTTGGCTTTAACACTTTTTAAGGTGCTGGCCCGGGATCAAGTATGAAGATCAAGAGTTCTAAATTTAAGTAAACCTATGCTTAAAAAATATGCAGGTTGCCATTGTTGGCCTCTCCTTTTCTAATAAAATGGAAGTTGACTGGCTGTCTGGCTTCAATAACTGCCATCACTACCCCAGAACATGTATACAGTTCAGGAGCTTCCCTGGTTGCATGTCTGGTCATTTCTACCCCCCACTGTACTAGTTACTTAAAAAGTAAGCTGACCCCCCAAAAATTATTCCTGTTCAAATTAATTCCTCCAAGATTTTAGATTTTCCATATCTGAAGAAGTTCATGATTCTGAAGAGTTTTTGGCTTAGCCTCCCTCTTCCATAGAGTCCTAGCCATTCTACTAAAGTACTGCATAAAAAAACACATAGAAAGATCCCTCCTCTAAAAAGTTTCAATCACGGGTGGCATCTGCTGGCCTAAGTCACCCATTGGCTCTTGTGGAATAAAGTGGTAAAATCTCCCCTCCATGTTCTGACTGTTCTCATGGCCATGTTATAAGCTTTGGATGCAAAACTGAAATGTTTAATTTCCCCCCAAATTTCCTTGAAAATCAAGAGACTTTGGCCGGATACATTGAAGTCAGTGGGGAAGGCGTTTTTTAAGGGTGCACTTGGCTTTAAATGGCTCCTGAGGGTTACGGAAACGTCTTTAACTATCCCCTTCCTGTTCTTGTACCAGATCATGATTTTATTTCATTTTTCTACAGAGAGAAAGAACGCAGACAGTGGGAAAACAATAAAAATAAAAGAAATTGAAAAAAAAAAACTACCCTAGATACACCCAAAAGAAAACCCAAAGGCCCTCTAAATAAAAAAAAACAAAAAGGTGGATTTGTTTTCAAGCAGAAACATTTTGCCAATTGAGTAAGATGTCCCAAAGAGACATCCAACTCTTAGCCGGCATATGAAACTAAAATATGAGTTTATGGTAGACCTACCCTAGACCAGCAAGCTGACATCCTCCCTATAATGAGTCAGCCTGAGGCGGTTGCCTCAGGTGGCAGCTCATTGGGTCACGTGGGGGAGGGGCCCTTTCCTGCCAGATCGTCCCAAGTTGTTAAGAGCTCTTAGCAACTTGTGACGCTCTGGCTGGTGTCCTGCCCAGCTCGTGGCAACCCGTGAAGTCAGTGAGCTGAGAGGTAACACCACCCCTGTGCACCACCAGCATACCACACCTCGGTCCCACCCACCTTCAGGTTCCGTCCTGCACCTCCAGCACCCTTTGACCCCCCAAGTCTTGTTGTGCACCGCCAGCACCCCACTGCCCCCCCTTGCCTCTTCATGCACCACCAGCAACCCCACTACCCCACCTTGCCTCGTTATACAGGGGCAGAAATCCCACCCACCCCGCTGGGTTTTTCATGCTCCACCACCACCCCCCACCCACCTCAATGAGCAGGGGGTCTAGGGAAACCCCTCCATCCACCAAAAACTAAAATATTAGGTTTGGGTGGGCTTACCCTTTTAATAGTGATAAAGTTAATAAGGAAGCTCATTATATCTCTATTCTGTAACCACTTTAATAAAAAAAAAGCCATTAATAGCCGCTTCCCGCATTTCATTTCAGTCTATTCCCTCAAGTAGGAAATAGCATGTAACCAAGTTCCAGGCGCAGTTTAAATTAGCATTATGACCTTAATAGCACACATGCATTTGTAACAATCTATGGAAATAGTGTGGGACTTACCAGGCGCTCTGACATTGGGGTCTTGTCTCCCTCTGGCAGATGCTGCTCCATTGCCAAGACAATGCAATTTGCTATGATGGTTGCTAAAATCATGTATTCAAAAGGAGTAAAAGAAGTCGGTTAAGGAAAACAAATGTAAAAATAATTTCAGCCTATACAAAACTGAACGGGGTCAGGCGTCTGTAAAGAGAGCTTCCACGTAGTTGCGAAGGGGTGCATCCTGGGAACAGGACTAGCTGCCTTCAGAGAACATAACAGAACAGGTTTATGACAGACACAACATTAGAGAATATCGTACACAAACAAAGAGCAAAAACTTTATCCTTGTAAACCACAAGCAACACAATACCGAAACGTGTCAAGTGATCGAGGAATGATCCATAAATGATTAAGTGTTGAGGATTTCGAGGAACAGCCCTCGGTCCTATTTGTCCTTGGAAATGTTCATCTCTAAAAATTACGCTGAATTTCTTAGAAACTGACCTACTGTACCATAAAGACTCCTGTTTTCTGCATGCTAAATTGAACTCTAATCATCTATAAATATTCCCTCGGCTTCTAGGTTGATATTTACTTGAGAGCAAAATTTAAAATGCAATAGTCGAGATTGAAGCTAAATTCTAAATACACAGTGGAGATACATACAGTACACCTGAACCGTCTTACCTGTCTGCGTGTGCAATTATGTTCAGCCAGTCCTGTGATCCAAGCTCCCCTACCAGACAGCATTGCCTGGCTAGGGCTGTACTTTGCTGCACTGCCGTTAGTTAGTACAGCATGATCTGACCGGTTCCCAGCCTGCTGATTGGACAGTGAAGGAGCAGCAGGACCCGTATGCTGTTAGACTGACAGCATTCTGCAATGTAGCAAATCCGGCTGGCTCACGTTACTACTGCCCCTCCCTCTCCCAATCTGGGTCCTGCTATGCAGGTGAATTTCAAAGAGCAAATATAAAGATAGGCTTTAGGTACTTATACTAGCGGTATGAAATGAAACATCATCCTGTGTTACATAATGTATTGTGGTCCATGGCGTGGTTCAGTACATTATTTGACCAGTAAACTCTCCGTGATACTCATATCCAAGAAAAATGATTTCCAGGCAGTTCTAATGACCCTGCTTACCTATAAAATGTTCTTATGAAGCCAGTGGACTCCTATATAATAGAATGACATTATTTATTTGAAGAGCGTCAAGTGCCCGGCCTTTGGGTGCTGTGCACCGCCCGGCACCATTGCCTGTAATATGACACTAGCAGAGCTGCAAGAAGAAATTGCTGTAGTGACAGGTACTGTATAGGGCACTATATTGCCATATCCCTGTATATCCAATCTCTCTCATCTTTCTCTCTCTCTCTTCTCTCTCCTCTTTCTCTCTCTCTCATCTTTCTTTCTCTCTTCTCTCTCTTTCTCTTTCTCTTATCTCTCTCTCTCATCTCTCTCTCCTCTCTCTCTCTCATCTTTCTCTCTCTCTCATCTTTCTTTCTCTCTCCTCTCTCTTTCTCTCTCTCTTCTCTCTCATCTCTCTCCCATCTCTCTCATCTCTCTCTCACCTTTCTCTCTCTCTCTCTCCTCTCTCTCCTATCTCTCTCTCTCTCTCTCTCTCTCTCTCATCTTTCTCTCTCTCATCTCACTCTCTCGGCCACAAGCATGGCTCCCAGAGGCAGATACCTGATTGAATTTGTAGTTGCACCCCTGCTCTATAGTATTCCCCTTGAGGCTAGGTTCACACCTACACTACACTGCATGACACCCGGGATGCGCAGCCCGGGATCACGCGGTCCTGCACAATGCAGGCAGCGATTGCTGTGCAGCCCCATTGATTTCAATGGGGCTATGGAAATCGCAGAAAATTGGTACAAGTACCTTTTTTTTGGCGATAAATAACGCACGGCTGTTTGCTGTTTTCGGACGCACGGGCGGAATCGCGGCAGGGAACCGCGCGATCCGCCCAGCGCCACTGGGGTGCCATTAGAAAATAATGGCACCCAAAGCGCGATCGGTTCACACCTAGGCGACTCCAGACCACGCGGAATTGTGCACGATTGTTGCGCGGTGAGGTGTCGCCTAGGTGTGACCCTAGCCTTATTCCTTCCCTGGCACCAGGGCCATCCCTAGAATGAGGCAGTTGCCTCGTGTGGCATCCCATTGGGGGGCAGTTGGGTGGTGGTGGGGGCATCAGGGGGGCCGCCTCAATGTCCCAGGTTGCTAAGAGCTCTTACCAACCTGTGACACCCAATCTGGCATGCCGCTGGGCTCCTGGCAGCCAGTGACGTCAGTGAGCTGGGCAGACAGAGCTGCTGACAGCACAGTCAGGTGTCCTCCACCGCGCCTACAACCCTTCCCACCCCCTACCGCACTCCTCCCCTGCAAGGCAAGTGTTGCCTGTCAGTACAACCCCCGAGGAACGACATCACCGCAGGTGACAAAACCCACAGGGACAGCTGTACCTGGCACCTACATATCTAGGGAGGGGCGAAGGAGCTGGGCCAGCACAGAGAGTATTGGACACTCGCAGAAGAGCAGAGGGCTGTGACCTGCAAGGAAGGAGGGGGCTGTGCTAAGGAGTACTCACATTTTATAGCAAGTTCAAAGGCATACTACAAGTGAATAGAAATGATTTATGGAAAGGAAAAAAATCGCTGTAAAGAAGCGTTTAAAAAAATTTGCTTTTACTTGCAATTTTTAAGTTGGTGACAGGGCCTCTTGATTGCAGTTAGCTATTTACTAAGACGGCGTATTAGTGCAGATTTCGTGACCAGCCGGTCACGAGTTTCCCTTTTTGTGCAGCTTGCATTAATCAGATGAAGGATAATTGTCTGCTGGACACTTTGGATTCCTGGTATATCCAGGCCATTGAGCGATGTTATCTCAGAACGCAGCGGCTGTAATTGGAATAGCAGTTTAATGACTCAATTCACCGCTTATTACCACCTAGGACTGTGTGTTGTACCTCGCCGCCATCCCAGCATGACTTCCATGGCCCAGCGTGTGGTGTGTAGGGAGGGCCAGGGTCACGGCCGCGGTATTCATACAACCAGAGACATGTTACCAGCGCAATGCCCCCAATTAGATGAACACAGGGAACTTTCACACATAGCAATGCGCAGGGAGATAACTGTAAAATGTCGGCGTGGCTGAGACAGGTCCCCGTCATTCCAGCAGGCCTGGACGTTCACTCTTCAGACCAGTAATACATTTTTCAGACACATTCTTGCTCTAGGAATTAACATTCTTCATCTCAAATTTACATTAAAATCCCTGATTTATTCTGAAATTATTATCAGCTCTTGCTGCTTTTGGTTTATTACATTGGCTTGTACAAAAACATACTTAAAGGGTATCTATGTAGTTCTAATACCCATATCCATCTAGAAGCTTGTACACTTACTTATTAAAGATGCCCATAGGATATACTTCCTCAATGCACTGACACCATTGCACTCAGCCCTGTGAATGTCCACTTCCTGATGTCACCAACACAGCCTGCCTTCTGAACTACAACCCAACATCTGAACAATGTAACATTATCATTGCTTGCTGGAAGCAATGCATGATGGGATATGTAGTCTTGACATCACATCTAGCAGCAGGCAAAGAGAGACCCAAAGCACACTGGGGATCCAGCAGGACTCACTACATAAAGGGGATTTTACAAGTAAGCTTTGGTTGTATTATCAAAAACAGCTCTAGTATGTATTTTGATTACAATGCTGATATCATAACTAGGGATGCACCGATACCGGTTTTTCGGTATCCAGTACGAGTACCGATATTTTTTTTTTCAGGAAATGCCGATATAGAGTACCAATGCGGTGTGCCCAGAATATCAGGAAGTCAGGCGGTGGATCATGTCCCGTCGTCCAGCTTCCTGATTGCCTGTTAAACCAGTGCCGAGGCTGCCTGGCCTTCTGACTAATCAGGAAGCCGGGCGGCGAGTCATGAGGTGCCGTCCGGCTTCCTGATTGGTCAGGAAGGCAGGCTGCCTAGCAACAAGTGAAGCCGGCTTCCTAGGGAATCAGGAAGCTGGGCAGAACGTCATGACCCATCTCCCGGCTTTCTTATTGGCTAGGAAGCCAGCGTTACTTGTTGCTAGGCAGCCTGCCTTCCTGACCCACCCGGAGGCCAGGACTCAAGTCGTGATATGCCGCCTGGCTTCCTGATTGGTTAGGAAGCCAGGCTGCTTACCAACTCACTTCCTGACCTTGTGATAAAGGGCAAGAAATAAAGGGGATGGGGCCACTGGGAAAGTAAGACCTGATCTCCCTAAATCAGTCACAGCCAGCGCATAACCTAAAGGAACTTTGTAGTTTCCCCTAATCTAAGCATTCATGTAATCCAATGTGGCCAAAATTCAGGAAGCCGCCATTCTGTGCTACCCAACTTACCTCTTCCAAGCAACTTCTCTATACATGTGCTCTACATATTCTCCTGGTCCAGCAACTGGTGTTCCAGTCACCCCAGATTGCCTTCAACAAGACTGCCTTAATCAAAGGGATGGATTCGTGCACTGCAGCTATGCCTGGAGGGCAAGTGGAAACCGTAGGCAGGCACCCAATGTGTCTTGTGCATGCTTTAAGACCTAATTTTCAACTTTTACTTTGGTAGACCAGTAAAGGAGAATTCCCGGCAACACACAACATTCAGCCATAAATATGCAGTGCAGACAGTTATTTGTACATAAGTGCTTGTTGTTATGGATTAACCTTTAGGAACAAAAAAATATCCCATAAAGGTTTGGGCCTGTAGTAGAAAATGAAGCAGTGAGGTTCCAGGTATGAAACAACTCATTACACACAATCCAGTAGTTACAGGTAAACTTCAGTACAATACATATAATCAATGGTGCCCCATAGCAAAGTCAGTATGGGGCCCTCCAGCTCACTTACCTACATCTGCTACTGAAACCTGTGCCAATCTACAACAGTAATACAAATGGCTCTCAAAGCTATCTTTCTAAATCATATACACATCTATTTTATTCAGTTATTTTCCAATGGCATGGCTGCCATGATCAATAACTCTGCAGACAGAGAGTATTAAGCCCCTGTGCTGCTGCGCTTCAAAGCAATCGCATAGTCTGCAACTGTTGTTTCTTCTCCATTTT